TCCAACTGGTTCAATTCATCGACATCATTAGCCTTTATGCTTAACGATTCCCTTATCGATTATTTTCATTACGCCGAATTTTTACGTAGATGATGCACGTCACGCTCTTCAGTCAGCAGCACGTTCAACAACAAAGAAGACGTAATGGCGGACAGACAGAAGTGGTCGAAAGCGTGGCTTCACTTAACCAAAAAAGACTCTAACGTGCAATTTATGCAGCACCATAATTACATGCAAGGGCGGAAACACCACCAACATGCTGAAGCATTTGTCGTCGCATGGCATTAAATATCAAGAGTGCCATGTGTTTGACAATCTCCGGTCAATGAGTGCAGCTGCAGCAAAGTCTCAGCAGAGCAGAGCAGTGCCAGTGATGTCCTCTATCTTGTTATCGATAGCACTACACATTCAGTGGAAGATTCTGTAACTTAACTGACGTAGATGAAAACAAATGCTGTACAAATATTTTTTCATTTGTTCCATTTTAGACAATAGCGGTGGACTGAGTATTTCTGCTGCCTGCAGTGTCACTCCCCCAGCTCCACGTCCACGGGCAAAATGCCTCAACAGAGATCTAGGATCCAGTGACCATGTAGGACAAAGATTTTAATTTATTTTTATTTTTTTTATATGTCCAGAGATCTAGGATCCAGTGACCAATTTCATATTTGTTTACTTACACAAGCACTTATCTCTTGTTTAGAATAGAAACTCAATAAAAATTGAAACTTGATATTTTTTCTACACAGAAAATTCACAGGAGGAATCGATGAGGGAATCGATAAAGAATCGGATCGATAAGCAGAATCGATAATGGCATTGATATCAATAAAATTCTATCAATTCCCATCCCTATCCAGGCGTGTTGTAGAAAGTGGAGTTACAACACTGCAGACTACTGATTATTTGTTTTTATTCAGTTGACCCAGATTTTTTTCAAAAAATGGCAGCCCACAGAACTACGTCATATGCTTCACTGTACAATTTACAAAAAGCAGGTGTTTCTCTGTGTGCTTGACATTGAAATGATTCAGCAAGTGTCATGCTGAAAATGATGTCCTGTTGATGATGATGTCATGGCAGTTTCACACAGCTTTGCTTTAGCAATTAGCCAAGAATCCCACCTTCACTGATGGAGTGTTATCAGCAGTGGAAAACGAACAGAGAAAAGTACCTGGTGCCAAAAGTGAGTCGAGTTGGGCCAATCCATGCAGTGGAAATGTGGCATAAATGTCAGAGATAAACCTTTGCTCTACTACAACACAGCCAAGTAAATGAACTTGTAAGTTCAGATCAAACATTTGAAATAACTAGCAATAACCGAGTTGGTCACATTGAAAACATTACAGCTGAAGTCATTCAAACACCACAAATGTAATCCAGGCCAACTCTGACCACTGTTCCAAACCAGAAATGACTTTGTTTGATTTTGAATTTCAGACTTGGCCTAAAAGAGTGTCTAGAAGAAAATTGCAGTGATTTTCAAAAGAGCCACAGAGTTCCCAGATCAGATTGTTTTTATGTTCTTTTCTCAGATAAATATTTTTTATTTTTTTATTAGGGTGAAGGGTTCTCCAAGCTGTTTTTTTAACCTAACAATACAAAAAGAACCAAAATCGTAAAGTTGAAATAAACCTGAAATTTCCTTTAGAATACACTTACATGACCCTTTATACTAATGTCTGAAGGAACAAGGACAAACTGGAGAAAATTGATTGTCCTGTGTTAATTAACATATAGGGTATTGTACAATTAGCCATTAATTCTCTGTGGAATGTAGCCAAATTAAAGGAGTAACATGCCATCCAAAAAGTACAGATGCTTTTCCTTTTTGAAATATTACTCTGCAGCTCCCAAAACAGCTGAAGGTTAGTGCAAAGTGTTGTCATGACTTTCTCCTGGCAGGCAGTAATTAGCCTGCAGTGGTTCCATTTGTCTTCACTTTAGCCACACAACTAGAGCCGTGTAGTGCACCACTCAGTCATAATGGAATAATTAATAATGCAGAGACAGAGAGAAAGACAGGGGGGGGGGCAGGGGGAAAGAGAAAGGCAAACTTAGTTGCCTTCTACATATATATGAAGTTTTGAAACTTTAAAATCACATTTAGAACTGAAACCGGATACATATGTAGGAATATTTAGATATTTCTGAAATATGCTTCAGGGCTGAGATGAGAAAAATTATATCAGTCTTGTGTCATTGTGGTGATTATGGGGCTGGAGTCTAACTGTGCTCAGCCTAGCTTGGCAAAAAGCTAGAAGCGGGGGGAGAGCTAGCCTGGTGGCATTTATTGTTTGTCCGACCCACTTTAGATGACACCACACCCACTTCCACATGACGAAAGCAGGCTGTCAAACATCAAGGCCCAGTAATTGGCTGCCAGCCTTCTGCTAGCCAGTGCCACTAAAAGACACTGCTACTAGTTAGATAGGGCACCTGAAGATGTACCCAGCAGTCCTCCGCCTCTCACTGCTGCTCAGAGACTGCAAAGCAGGAAAGTTTGCTGTTCCGGTGGGGAGTCAGGGGACAGTCCAGCCACTGAAGGTTCATCCCTGCAAAATATTACAATAGTTGCTTGGAAAATAGTGATATGGATAGTTAAAGGGAAACTTTTGCAGATTTTCAACCAGCTCTGTGTCATTGCAGCATGCATCTGTTTGTGGGAGTACTGGGTGCTCATGGAACAGGGGTGAAGACAAACACCATTTATCTGCACATACTGCACACATTGCCCACACTGCGATGAGAGAGCTGGTTGAAAAATCTCCCTGTAATGGCTGTACCAACATAAATTCAGCCAATGACTGTTAATTACTAAAACCAGATTCTCACAAGGTAAACAAGACACATAGATGAATAAAGGAGGTAGAGGGGCATTGAAAGCCAACATTCTGCCTCCAAGGAAGGGACGAGAAGGGGCAGAGTTCTTTAGTGTTTTTTGTAAAAAGTAGTGTTCAAACCCATGGACTAGCTGAAGCTATGCCGTTTCATAGGGCGTCCAGTTATAAGACGCCTCTTTGAGCCAGCACCCTATTTCCTGTATGCCACAGCACTAGCCAGTCATCGGGCCTTGACATCTGGCAGTCTGTTTTCATCATGCAGAAGTGGGTGTGGTTTTATCTAAAGTCGGTTGGAAAAACGATCTGGCTCTGTCCGAGGGAGACAAAAAGATCTTCTAACACCTCTAAAGGCCTTTACATGATGGGAACATGACCACTAAACGACACGAAAATGCGAAATACTCACTTGTGAATATTTCATATTCATACTGGCAGCAATGCAAATTTACAACAGTTGCAACAGGTGCGCCATTGTCATAGAGTTCCACAATACATCTAACATGAATAGTTGATGTCTTTATTCCCTACAGCAAAAGCTCCGAAAAACCTTGTTCTGGAAAGAAATGCCATTGCTTCGCACATCAAGTTCTTGATGTGTGAATAAAATTTCACCAAACAAACACCCACAATGTATAAAGGCCTCAGAGGTGAATAATTCTTTAAGTAACCCTAAAATTATTTTTTCTACATTGTTTATGTATGGGTTAAACAAAAAGATGGAAAACTCACACCGCTTTACAATTGATGGTAGGTATGATTTTAGCATCTAGCATAGCTGTTCAACTCTGCATCCAGTGTAAGTGGCTCATTACTTTCTTACTTTAACTCCCAACTCAGTGTACAGACATCAGACTGATATTGATCTTTTCATTCCTCTCTCAGACAAAAAAACAAATGTGTATTCTTGCACAGATATTCAATTATTCCTTCAAAGCAATCTGAAGAGTAGTTGCTATTAGTCTGTAGATAGTCTCGCTCACCAGACCTTTCTCAAGAAAAGAAAGGTCTGGCTGGGCTGACTCTCACTGTGAGATTGGAGAAAAAAACACCCCAGCTGCTTGTACTTCTTTCAACCAATCACAATCGTTCTGGGCGGTGCCACAGCAACGGTGCGCTTGCAAAAATATTGCCAGGGGGAAACAGGTTTTGGTGTAACACGCCCACAAAAATATCACCTACAGGATATATTACACCTACAGGACCATGGCAGAAAAATGGCTACATCCCCGCAAGATCAAACACCGCAAAAGTTAGTAAAGGACGTGTTGAAAATGGTTGAAAACTGCTACACAACCGGAGGTGGTAGGGCGGGACTTCAGCGGGTGGCTCATTCCGCCCAATGAGAGGCTGATCTCTGCAGCAAACTTCTGCCCACTCAGACTAGTCTGTAGATGTAAGTGCCAAGACTGCAGCTCCTCAAATGTCCACTTGAGGCTGGCTCCAGGAGTGAGTCAGTCCCCATAGACCCCCATGTTAAAATGGCCAACCTTACAGCAGAAATAAACATGTTTACAGCCTGGTACAAAAAAAACAGTTTTGGTCTCTCTCGCTAATTTCTACAATCATGACAACTGTACAGGGGGTCAATTTTTATATCACTCACCTGTTTACAATATTTTAAATCTTAAAATTATGCATAATCAAGGGCTTGGTCATTTAAGTGACAGGCTGTCTGTGAGGTGTCACCACAGTGACTCAGACCCACCCCTCATTTCTCCAGCTCCAGTCTCTCATCCAAATAACTTCTGGCTCCAAAAAATGACCACTGAAATGATGAACTTGAGGCCTTAAAAACAGGAGACAAACTAATTGGTGACATCATGGTGGTTTATATGAAGGCCTTTCAAAGGAGATGAGCTGCTTTTTTTTTTTTCTTCCCAATGTTTTTGTGATGAAATCACAGGCTGTCGAGCACTGACAGCCTGAAATTGCGTTAGTCAAGGAGAGTGATTTGTTTAATAGTGCCGCAAATTTTATGACTAAATGTGTGTAGGGGAGAGGGGTTTTCTTTTGCATTCTACTGTCATAAGTCATATGTGCGCTTGTTAAATCCCATCTGTTTAGAGTTTCATCATAATTAGAGATATATAGGATATATCAATTTTTCATTTTCACCCGGCCTCCCCTCACTTTGTTTAATCTCTCTTCTTTTTCCAGTTGAAAAACAGTCTGAGAGACAACCTGTGTTTGGACCAAGGACCTGACACTGACAATGTTCCCATCATGTACCTCTGTCATGGTATGACACCGCAGGTCAGTGGGCTCTCATTCTATTCTTTCTATTCTATCCAGTCTCTTCAAATACATGAAAAAATATCTAATAGCACAGAGGGATCTTAGGAGAGGTTGTCAGCAGTAGATAATTGGACTACTTCACTGTTATTTTTAAATGAATGATTTAAAAAAGAGTAACCATTGCATAAAGTTGCATAAGTAGTTGCAGTAGCAGAGATGGGTGAATGATATCTCTTTATTCTCTACAAAACAGAAAGGCTGTGTAAGAATACATACAGTTTGTTGTCCTAGTTTTAAACAGTTATGCATGAAATAACAGGGGCGGCAGTAGCTCAGCTCAGTCCATAGGGACTTGGGTTGGGAACTGGGCCGGTTCAAGTCCCCGTCCGGACCAAATGCGGAGCGTGGACTGGTGGCTGGAGAGGTGCCAGTTCACCTCCTGGGCACTGCCGGGGTGCCCTTGAGCAAGGCACCGAACCCCCTAACTGCTCGGGGCGCCTGACCAAGGCAGCCCCCTCACTTTGACATCTCTCCACTTTGTGCATGTATAGGTCCTGTTTGTGCATGTGTGTTAATGACAACGGAGTGAAAAAATTGAATTTCCCCTCAGAGGGATTAATAAAGTATATAAAATTAAATTAAATTAAAATTAAAATCAACCTATTTCCATTGTTATGAAACATCTCATTGATATATTATAACTGAAAAGTTTTTTATGAATAATAATGAGCCAAATTATGTATACAGTGGAAACTCAGCAACATTTATGTTCATTTAGAGTTCTGTCTGTGTCTACCTGATGAATGACAGTCCGACAGTAACTCAACTTTGAGATCTGTTTTGGTCTCTATAAATGCCTGAGGGAAATATTTGGCACTTAAGCTGTGAAATGCTCCACTACTTGCTAATATAACTTATTCTGAATGTTGTTATGTATTGGGCAGGTAGGGTACAGTTGGTTTATAAGAGCTTTTTTCTGAAAACAGCCTGCTGGTCCCTGGAAACGATGTTGATAAGAGCAGCGTTGTGGGCCATCAACACCAAAACAATTAAATAAAGGTGCTAAAATGCTTTGACAAGCTAAAGCTCTACCTATGCCAATCCTCAATGCCTATGTGCAGTTTCATATACAGTACAGGCCAAAAGTTTGGACACACCTTCTCATTCAATGCGTTTTCTTTATTTTCATGACTATTTACATTGTAGATTCTCACTGAAGGCATCAAAACTATGAATGAACACATGTGGAGTTATGTACTTAACAAAAAAAGGTGAAATAACTGAAAACATGTTTTATATTCTAGTTTCTTCAAAATAGCCACCCTTTGCTCTGATTACTGCTTTGCACACTCTTGGCATTCTCTCCATGAGCTTCAAGAGGTAGTCACCTGAAATGGTTT